TCGTGGCGGGCTACCCGCTCGTCTTCTGTTCTCGGCTCCAGTTGTGAGGCTGAGATCTACGCTGGGGCTATGGCTGCACAGGAGTTACGCTGGCTCACCTACCTGCTGACCGACCTTGGAGAGCAGCCTCGTTCTCCTCCAGTCCTGTACGTAGACAACAAGGCCATGCTGGCCTTGTGTCGAGAGCAGCGACTGGAGCACAGAACGAAGCACATTGCTCTTCGCTACTTTCTTGCTCGTGAGCTACAGCAGCGTGGACAGCTGCGACTTGCGTACGTGGCCTCTGAGGCCAACACTGCTGATGTCTTCACCAAGGCACTTGCGCCTTGTGATCATCAGCGTTGCTGCACGCAGTTGGGTCTTGTGCCTGTCTTGCCTCACTTGCTCTCCTCTTGACCTTGCTTGTACCTTCGCATATATATACTCTTGCTCTTGCTTGCTTGACTCTTGTATACCTCTATATATGATCTTGCATGTGAACTGGCCTTGTGGCCTTTGAACTTGTGCTCGGAATGCGTGGTGACTTTGTGATCCACCCTGAGCTTTGCTTTGCTTTGCCTGACTGGTCTTGTGACCCCTTGTTCTCCCCCACTTTGCCTATGGGGGTGTGTCAGAACATATAGCTTACTTGTTTGTGTAGGCTATAGTGGGGTATCCCATAGGGGGTACAACCCAATTAGGGTTTCCTATTTGTACTCACTTCGTTCATACTCATTTCATTCTCGTTCAATTCTTCTCACCATCTTCTCCACCACAGATGCCAGCACAACAATCATTTTAAACCATGGCTTCCCACTCCACCAACACATGACCGGCACAAGGAGGGAGGGACTTGCATAACCACGTCGACATAGAACGCAACAACCGACATAATAATTGATGCCACTGGACGTCGCCATCAACCAGCTCCACGATCCACAGTCTGCCAAGGCACGCATATGTCTCAGAAGACCCAATTAAAATGAAGCACGTTGCCTTAAAATGAAGCACATTGCCTTGCAAGAACCAGAAAGCAAGCTTTCTCAATATAAGATTGGTCAATAAACAGCGTCGTGACTTTGAATAATAGTTGGCTTTTCCATCTTCACATAATAGATTCCTCTGAGTGTATTGCAATTGTGCTGGGTACGAATCCTATACATGAGGTTATTGCGCTACTGTTATACTTACCGTAACTTTCTGATTAACTCAAACACTACAACAGTTACAGAATTATATTTTATGCCATACTAATCTAGCTGTCTCATATTATTTTATAGCCTGTTCTCCCGCTACAAACGGGTCTACGTTTCAGATTCTTTACGAAGTTGCACGTGGCACGTTGAGAATGGCTGCTTGGAGTTGTGTCAGAAGGTGTTTCCCAAATCGCTCAGAGCTTCCATCGAAATTTCACCCGAGGCGAGATCCGAGCGATGTTGAAACTGCTGTGTGGTTGGGAAGGAAGGCTGGCTATCACTCTCCTGCTTCAAGGCTTCGTCGGCGTTCTACTCTTCACGAAGAGCAGAGCATTAGTACTGCGACCGAGCGTTATAGCGTCGTTTGTTTGTAATTGTATCTTATACCGTGCACAGGAAGCTGGACGCAGTTATCGTAGTTGTGTTGGCAACATGGATTGCACGGATCCGAAAGAGGTAGCGTCACGCCTCGGGAATATTGCGTTCGGCAACGTTATCGCAGCAGCAGCACGCGATCTAAAAAAAGTAGGTAGCGCGTGCCGGTTTTCCGCTTTCAACCTCAAAGGGTTAATGCTCAGCGAGTTAGCTTCCTTTTGTTTCCTTTTTGTAGGCCGAAAGGAATGCACGCTCAGCATCGGTGTGTTCTTTTATTCTACTGTCCTTTACGCTTTCAGGAAAAGGAGTTGTCTCAGAAGAATGCTTCCGCAACTGTAGAGGATGATTTCGATCTCGACGACCTTGCGGATGTAAGCAGAATGCAGCTCCTATTGTTTTGACCATGCCGAACTCACACGATGGAGAACTCCTTGTATTACGAACGTTTCTCCAACATTTCATTTTTGTTCCTTATTTCTAATCTGCGGCAGGACCCTGAGCTTGAAAAACTACACGCTGAACGGCTACAATCCTTGATGGTAAAGCTAATGCCACATCCACGTTTTCCGTCCATTGTTGACTGCCAAGTGTACAGCGAGTTCTAAGTCAGTGTGTTGGTTTAGACTTGACCTTATCCCTTGTTGCGTTCACATCGTCTTTGGCTCAGGCCGAGACCAAGAAGCGCGAAAACCTAAGAAAGAAGGGACACGGGGAGTACCGGGAGGTGAGAATGCTGAAACGTGCATTAGCAGATTCGGGTAGTAAGAGTACTGACGTAAATCTGGTAACGTTTCGAATTTCCCTTCCAGATCACGGAGGAAGAGTTTCTACAAGAGGTTAAGTCAAGCGAACTCGTCCTATGCCACTTTTATCACGCCGAGTTCCCTCGTTGCAAGTATGTTTTCACACCCTCGCGCATTTGCTTCGTTACACATTCTCCTCGCAACTGAACGTCGTTGCTGTGCACCTTTTCAGGATCGTTGATAAGCATCTGGCCATCCTGGCACCAAAACATTTGGAGGCCAAGTTTCTAAAGATTGACGCAGAGGTAAGTTGTACGATATGTTTTCATGCAAAAACTTTCCGCCCTTTCTGGGGCGCACAATAGTGCTGGAATTTCCTTATCAACATTAAATCCCTGTTGTACTCTTTCACCCTTCGTCGTGGCCATCTCTCTCTCCACTATTATGGTTAGCTCCCCACCTGCTTCCGCATCTCCCCTGTTTCAGGACCCTTTATCCTCCATCATGTCCTGTATCTCCCCTTTTGTTTTCATGTGTGCAACAGAAATGCCCTTTTTTTGTGTCCAGATTAAATATCAAAGTCCTACCATGCATGATTCTATTCAGGTTCGTGCATCCATGTCCAACGTGTTAATGCAGGAGGGATGGGAGATAGTGTCATGTAGGGGGGGATGTGGAAAGCATTGACTAACGGTTACAACACTATGAGATCGAGCTCAGCTAGTATTTGCTTGTTCTTCACATGCAGGGATGCCGTTGCTTTTCATAGAATAGTAGGGTTCGAGGCCTTCAGGAATCGTGACAACTTCTCAACTTCGGAGCTGGAGAACTATCTGATTAAGCAAGGTAAGAGCTCCCGATGTGTGTGTGTGTGTGTGTGTGTGTGTGTGTGTGTGTGTGTGTGTGTGTGTGTGTGTGTGTGTGTGTGTGTGTGTGTGTGTGTGTGTGTGTATCTGTGTTGCATTTTTGTTCTCTAAGAGTTCTCTAACGAGTAAATCTCATGCTGTTTCAGAGTTCTTGGAGTTAAGGGAAGACGAGGATGCTGAAGAAGAGGATGAAAATAAGGGAAGAAGTATACGAGCATCTGCTCTTTCAAGTGGCTATGAGTAGCCTCGTGTATTGGTTCCTTGACATATCTAACTGCAAAACTTAGTGAAGGTCAGCTCTGTTGATATTTTATGTACCGGAAGCTAGTAACGGAGCCAATACAGTTGAAAACTGATTTGACCTGCTTCTTGGAAAGAAGCGCGCACCAGCTGGCGTCCAGCAAGATCGGGCACCCAGACTGTACGGTATCACTTGCCACAAGCAGGACAGACAAGCATCTGGAAGAGTGCTGCACTTCGTGAATTTTCGCCATGGGATACGCAATGCTTCTATGAATGGTTCAGGAATGCTCCCCAGCTTTCCGACAGCTCGTAACGTTCTAAATCAACGCTTTAGACTAGATTGACCATAGATTTGACATTTAAATCGCCTGTCTTCGCACATCTCGTTGACATAACCAACGGATGCTGCCTGGTGGAACTCCGTAGTGTAGATTCGATGTGGAGCTGGCTGGAGAGGACTGAGGCAGCAGCAATGCTTTGTGGCAATGCCTTGTGGGCAGGTCGTACATTTACGATGCTGGCTCAGGACGGTTTTCCACGGTGAAAAGCGGTTTCTGAGATCTACCGTTCACCGCAACAAATTTCATCACAGAACGTACGGTAGCCGTAGGACCAGATGACGTCCTCCCAACATAAGTCAAGGAGCTGGGCTCCTCCAAATGCTCGACTCGATGTCTTCGTTTTCAGAATGCCTATGTTCAAGCTTTTGTCCATTATAGATAGAACGAGTCAAGTTCCGTAGTGCCCATCCTGCCTTTCTGACTATAACTCCATTGACGCCTTGCTTGACAAACAACTCCTATTTCCGCCATCCTGCAGCTTCATATCCACGTCCCCCCAAATCTCCTAGGTCGACATTGTTACGGTAGTCATGCTGATTTTCGTTATTTTCTAAAGCACCGGTTTTTTAATATTTAGGCTCGAGGAGCCAAACTTTTGCGAGAATGAGCTGGAAGTGGTCGCAGGAGCTGAGCCCGTGAGGCGACTTTTGAGTCGACTCAAAAGCACTGGTTTTTAATACTTAAGTGGTCCGAGGAGCGAGACGTTTGCGAGAATGAGCTGGAAGTGGTCGCAGGAACCAAGCCCGCGAGGCCAGCCCGAGCCGCTGGAGCACCAGCCGCTGCAATGGGTGCTCGAGGTGACTCCCCAGCTGGACGTCAGTCGCAGCACTCTCGCCGTCGCTCTCGCCGACGCGGAGAGCTTGAAAAAATCGCACGAGTTGTCGCACGGATCGTTGCGGGGGGGTTCGGAGTCGGGAGCCAGCGGAGCCGGCGCGGAACTTCCCGTGTTCATTCTCGTCGCCGTCATGCAGGACGCTACTGCACCTCCTTGTACGCGATAAGAAATCTCCTCGATATGCGTCCGCGAGAGGTTGAGCGCTACGAAAACAGTCTTCGTCAAGCTTTTTGTCCGTCGAATGTATCAGCCTCCTCTTCTTTTCCCTCGTCAGCGTCGACGCGCGACGTTGCTTGTGGCAAATTCGCAACTGATAAAATTGAAACGTCTTTCACACTGAACGGGTTGCACCGGCCCGCGGACCGGCCGTGTTCACCTAATATGTTCTTTACCGACAGGTTGAGGAGGTAGGGCAAGGTCAGATGCGCGTGACGTTATTCACATGGCATTGCGCGTGTGACATCGTGCGCGTGGCATTGCGCGCTTGTGCGCGCAACATGAAGCGTGTGACATTGTGCGCGTAGGGCACTCTCGGATTAAGCACTTCACCATTGCGAAACATCAGCAAATGCGTGCGTACTCATCTCATCCTGATGATCCATGCATCCATGCATGCATCCATGCGTGTCTCTCTCCTCTCATCTGCCATGACCATGGACGAGGCAGTGTGGCTAGTGGAGGCAGAGGAACCGCCGTCCGACGCCCCTGAGAAGCAGCAGCTGGGTGCACGTGCACAACCGTGCGTGTATGCACTCACCCCCATGTCTGTTCTTCTCTCCCTTTCTCCCTCTCTCTCCCTCTCTCTCCCAGCGCCCATGGTGCGGCGAACCATGACAATGGACGAGGCAGAGCGCCTGGCAGAGGCAAAAGAGGCGCCTCTCGATGCTCATGCCTCGCTCTCCTTCCCCCACAGCTCCTCTCCCTCCCCCCCGCGTCCTCTCCTTTTCAGCCCCCATGGTACGACGAACCATGACAATGGACGAGGCAGTGCGCCTAGCAGAAGCAGAGGAGGCTGTCATTCGCAAGATGCTGCAGCCACTCAAGACCCTTGCACACAGCCGCCAGGTGAGACGCTCGTGACGCCGGCTGTCTGCTTGGTTGATAGTTCTGAGCGGCCTCGGAACTGGCAGAGGAGGTCGTCATTCGCAAGATGCTGCAGCCGCTCAAGGCCCTCGCACACAGCCGCCAGGTGAGTCGATCATAACACCCGCCGGCTGCTTGAATGATGGTTTTGACAGGTCTCAAAACTCGCAGAGGAGGCTGTCATTCGCAAGATGCTGCAGCCACTCAAGGCCCTCGCACACAGCCGCCAGGTGAGACGCCGCCAGGTGAGACGCTCGCGGAGCCTTACAGCCGCCAGGTGAGACTCCTTCAGTCATAACACCCTTCTTACCCCTTTTGCCGCGAGGTGTGTGCAGTGATGCATCTGGGGCGCAGCAGCAGCAGCGGCCTGCTTTGAAAAGCCCTGTGGTGGTTGGTCGGTGTTTGGTCCTCGTTTGTCGTATCCTCCTTTATTCACCCCCAACCCCTTCCCCCCCCCACCTCCCCCCCCCCCACTTTCCCCTCCCCCACCTTCCCCCCCCCCACCTCCCCCCCCCTCTCCCTTCCTTCTCCCCTTCTTCCCTGCCCCCAGGTGCGAGCAGTGATGCATCTGGAGTGCAGCAGCGACCATGAGAAGGCCCTGTGTGTGGCCAGTCATAACACTCCTCCTGCTCCCCTTGCTCCCCCCCCACGCCCCCCTGCCTCCAGGTGCGAGCAGTGATGCATCTGGAGCGCAGCAGCGACCATGAGAAGGCCCTGTGTGACGCAGTCAAGCGGTTCTCCGCCTCCAGGGTCTACATCGGGGTCAGAAAGTGAGTCAGACAACAGAACACAGTCCCTTTTCAAGGCCCTGTGTGCTAAGCCCCTCCGCAACACCCAAGAATACATATATTGCGAGTCGATACTCGCTTGCGAATAATAATAATGATGATAATAATAATAATAATAATAGTAATAATAATAAATCCATGAGTGCTTCTGCTCTTCTTCATGAGCAATGTGACTCTGAAGCGAAGGCCCTCAGCAACACAGAAGGATGCGATTTTCCAAGTCTCAACGACCTGGGACCCACAGCAGCACATGTCCCCTCTTCCCTCTCTCCTCTCCCCTCTCCCCTCTCCCCTTTGCTCCACCCTCCCCCTCTCAGGAAGTTCCTGTGGTCGAACTCCCTCAGCAGCGCGCCGACAGCCTACTACGAGACGAATCTCCCCGACGGCTGTGTGCTGGTGGTGGCGCAGGGGTCGCGGCGGGTGGCAGAGATCCCCGTGCATCCCAAAGGGCCCCTCCGCAGCCGCACCCTCAGCCGCTCCAAACGCTCCCAGGCTGGCTTTGATCCGCCGCTCACGCCCACAGGCACTGCACCTGGTGCTGGTGCTGGTGCTGCTGCTGGTGGTGGTGTGGTAGGGGGGGGTGGGAGGGGCAGGGGCAGGGGACGAGGTGTGGGCAGGGGTGTGGGCAGGGGAATGGAGAGGGGTGCAAGCAGGGGGTTTCCTCGCTCGGCATCGTCGAATGCTGCTTTGGAGGCGGGAAGCAGGGGTGGAGAGCGGTGGTCTGATGCTGGTAGCAGCGCTCGTGCTGGTGCTGGTGCTGGTGCTGGTGCTGGTGCTGGTGCTGGTACTGGCACTGTTGCTGGCGTGGGTGCTGTGATTGGTGGTGGTGTTGGGAGCAGTAGTGGTGGGCGGGGCGGGGTTGGCAGCAGAGGAGAGGGAGAGAGGAGGCGGGGGGAGAGAGAGGAGGTCCAGGCAGGAGAGCGAGAAAGCAGACCCCTGGCGGGCAGACTCAGGGTGATTGTGCCGTCTACTAGAGAGGTGGACGGATGGGGGGTACAAATTCAGGGAGAGCAGACTCAGGTGGAGCAGCGACAGGGGGAGCAGCGACAGGGGGGGCAGCGACAGGGGGAGGAGAGTCAGGGGGGACTAGGGCTGGAGGCTGGGTCGGGGGATGAGGATGATGATGCACTGGCAGAGCTAGGAGAAGAATGGATCAGAAGCAGGAGGAGAGAGGCGCCAACGTCAGGTAGAACGCCAGGTGCTGCATCAGGTGCTGCATCCGATGCTGCATCAGGTGCGGCATCAGGAGCAGTGGATTCAAAGCGAGCAGGGCGCCATCAGCGGAGCCACTCCATGCACCTGCTGTCACCGCACCCCACAGCTCTCTTCTCCCCCTCACTCCCTCCCTCTCACCCCCGCCGCCTGTCCATATCAGACGCCCTAGAAGCAGAGGGCAGTGTGGGCCAAAAACGGGGCCCGGGGCGAGAGAGGAAGGTTAAACTGGAGGTCGAGGAGGTGGATGAGGAGGAGGAGGAGGAAGAGGAGGAGGAGGAGGAGGAGGAGGGAGTGATGGGACCCCATGGTGGTAGGAGGAACCTTCCCAGTGAATACCATGACCATGCCAGCCAGTTCGGCCCGTTGAGTGTGCGCGGCAACCCCACCACCCCACGCCTCTTCTCCCCAGATGACTGGACATTCCCTCTAAATGATGATGCTTCTGATGCCTCTGGTGCTTCTGGTGCCTCTGGTGCTACTTGGCCGTCCAGTGCTGCTGGTGCATCTGGTACATCAGCCCCCACGACTCCCAAGGGAGCGAGCAGAAACCCCAAGGGCGAGGGCATGGCAGGGAGAGGCGCAGGGAGAGCCGTTGGGATGGTAGAATCTGGAGGGATTGCGAGGCATGATAGTGGGAGTGGGCGTGGGCGTGGGAGTGGGAACCGGGATGGGAGTGGGAATGCTGGTGGGGAGAAGAAGGAGGAAAGGCCAGGAGTACGCATAGGAGCAGGTGCAGGAGCAGGTGCAGGAGCAGGTGCAGGAGCAGGAGCAGGTGCAGGTGCAGGTGCAGGTGCAGGTGCAGCTGCAGGTGCAGGAGCAGCGACAGGCACCGGCACAGGAGCAGGGGGGAGCAGGCAGGAGGCCAGGCGGGGGGCTTGGCGCAGCCGGTTTCGCAGTGCGAGTGTGAGCGAGGTGCCTCTCTCGCCCTCCCAGCTGCTCTCCCCCTCTGGCCTGCTCTCCCCCGAGCGCCCCTTCTCTGCTATCTCCGCCTGGGATGCCCTTCCTGTGCGCATCGGGGGCAGTGCTGTGGAGACAGGGGGGAGGGTGATGGAGGGCGAGGTGCTAAAGTCGCCGCGCATGGGGGGCAGTGCTGTGGAGACAGGGGGGAGGGTGATGGTTGAGTCGATGCACAAGTCGGCTCGTGTAGGGGGCAGTGGCGCTGGTGCTGGTGGTGATGGTGCTGCTGGTGCTGGTACTGCTGGTGCTGGTGCTGCTGGTGCTGGTGTTGGTGCTGCTGCTGCTGCTGCTGCTGCTGCTGCTGCTGGTACTCACGGGGATGCTGACGAGGATGAGGATGACGTGTTTGAACAGCTGATGCGGCGCCAGCTGGACACAGTGAGCAGCAAGAACGACACCAACAGTAAAAGCAACAGCATGGTCAGCGGCAGCAGCAGCAACAGTCATGTCCGCACTGCATCAGCCTCTGGCTCCTCCAACCGGGATGTGCTGCCCGCGCACATGGGGACCATTGCTGCGGAGACAGGGGGGAGGCAGGTGGGAGGGAGTGGGGATGGGTGGGGGACTGGGAGCAATGTGTCGTCTGCTGCTGCTTCTGCTGGTGATGCTGACGAGGATGAGGATGAAGATGACGTGTTTGAACTGCTGATGCAACGGCAGCTGGATGCAGTGAGTAGCAACAGCAAAGTCAACGGCAGCAGCAGCAACATCAACAGCAGCAGCAACAGCAACAGCAACAGCAGCAGCCATGCCCGCAATGCATCAACCACTTCCTCCTCCTCTCCTGCTCCTCCTCTTCCCCCTCCTTTGGCCACTGCTGTTGCAGCAGGATGGCAGGTGCAGCTGCTGCACAATCACAGTGGCAGTATGCATGGTGATGGTGATAAAATCAACAGTGCTGTAATAAACGGTCATAATGCTACCCCCGGCAGCAGCAGTGCTCACCTGTCTCACCAGATCTTCAACACCACACCTGCAGCCTCGGCAGCCACAGCCTCGGTGGCAGCCACAGGTTCGGGTGGATCCCCTAAGCTTCGGATGCTCACCACTAAAGGATCTGGCTCAGGTTCAGGTTCAGGTTCAGGTTCAGGTTCAGGTTCCCGCCTGGCCTCAGGGCTAGGGCTGGGCAGAGCAGCAGCTAGAATGCTCTTTCCCAAGTCTTCCAGTGGCGGCAGCCGCACGGGGCGAGAGGACACCACTCCCCAAAGCCCCCTGGCGTCCCCTCCCCCGTCGGATCCTGAGGGTGATGAGTATCAACGGACACGATCGCTCGGCACGTATGATTTTGTAAGGTATAAGCAGAGCAGGAGCGCGAGCAGGAGGAGCAGCAGGGACTATGGGGAAAGCAGTGGCAGTGGAGGCAGTCCCTCTCAGAAATCTGCGAGCCTCCTTTCTCATTCGTCTTCCGATCTCCCCTTGCAACAATCTGTGCCATCAGTTCAGCAATCTGTTTCAGAGAGGCCTAAAAAGTCGTCCCATCAGCAGCCTCTGCTGCTGGATGGATCAGCGAAAGCGGCAGTCGCAAGCCAATCTGCCAGGCACCCCGTCCCTCCTCGCTCTCCCTCTCGCCGCACCCCTCCTCCGCTCGTCCCCTCTACTGCTTCTGCTGCTGCTAACACGTCTCCACCCCGCTCTGCTCGAAGAAATGCTGCTGTTCCCGCCTTTCCTCGATCTGCTAGTGCGGGCAGCAGCAGCAGCAACGGGGAGAGCGGCAGAAGCCGAAGCAACGCAGGCAGCAATTTCATCAATTACAGCAACAGCTACAGCAACAGCAGTGGCAGCAGGATTGAAGGATCAGAGCATGCTGCTGCTGCTGCTGCTATCGGTACTGGTGGAGTGGGGAGAGGGGCGAAAGAGGTGATGGAGCCAGGGGAAGAAGATAGAGGAGGAGCTTTACCAGTGGCAGCAGAAGCAGGTGTGACGATGCTGCGAACCAAATCCGGAGAGATTTTAGGCCGCAACCAGCAGCAGCAGCAGCAGCAGCCGCAGCCGCAGAGGAGGGCTTTGGAGAGGTTTCCTGTGTGCCGCATGGAGCAGCGGCAGCAACAGGTGAAGCTGGCTTGGGATGACATTCTGGGGGACGGGCCTGATGCAGGACAGGCGCCAGCAGGGAGAGGTTCGCTTGTCCGCAAAGCGGTGAAGGCAGCAGGAGCCGCAGGAGCAGCAAAAGCAAGAGACGCAGCGGGAGCAGCAAGAGCAACACGAGCAGCAGGAGCAGAGAAAGGCAGAGGTGGGGAGACGGAGCACACAGCATGGGCAAACGGCGCAGCAGCAGAGGAGTTTGATTTCGGTGTGCCAGCAGAGACGGCAGGTGAGGTTGAAAGGCGCGAGTCTGTGGACCTGGCTATGGGTGGCAAGCCAATGCCCAGGGGTGGTGGCAGTGGCGGTGATAGCGGTGGTGGTGGTGGTGGTGGTGGTGGTTCAAGGCTCAATCAGGGCAGCAACAATGGCACCATGCTGAGCTCAGGTACAGATGATGCAGCACGGGCAGCAGCAGCAGCAGCAGCAGCAGCAGCAGCAGCAGCAGCAGCAGCAGCAGCAGCAGCAGCAGCAGCAGCAGGAGGAGCAGGAGAAGCAGGAGGAGAAGAAGCCCAAAGTCCCGAGGATCTATCAGCGTCCAGCATCCCTCACCACCTATCGTCTCTTGTTCCCTGTCGGGTGTTCACTCTGCAGCAGCTAGCAGCAGCAACTGACGGCTTCAATCCCTCTCGCCTGCTGGGCCGCAGCAGTGGGGGCAGCGCAGGGGGAAGTGTGTACCGAGGGGAGCTGCTGGGGCGCCCTGTGGCGATCAAGCGGCTGCAGGGCCCGGGAATTAGCCACAGGAGTCCGGGACCCTACTCCACGTCAGCTGCCACGTCAGCTGCCTCGTCAGCGGCCACGTCAGCAGAGGCTGAGGCGTTTTGGAGGGAGGTGGGGGTGCTGGCGAGTGTGCGGCACGCGCACGTGGTGGGCATGGTGGGGTGCTGCCCTGAGGACTTCTCCCTTGTGTATGAACTCATGGTGGGAGGGTCTCTCTGGGACCGCCTACACCCACAGCTGCAGCAGCAGCCGCAGCAGAAAAGGCAACAGAAACAGCAGCAGCAAGAGCATGAACAAGGGGCAGCCACCACCCCGCCTCCCTCCCCTCTCCCCGCTCCCCTCCCATGGCACCATCGCCTGTGCATCGCCTCTGAAATCGCCTCTGCGCTCCTCTTCCTACACTCCCACAGCCCCCTTATCCTCCACTCCGACCTCAAACCCCAAAACATCCTTCTCGACAGCCATGGCGCCAGCAAACTTGCTGATACAGGCCTGGCGGGGCTCAGTTTCTTCGGCTTGCTTCCGCAGAATCACCTCGAGGTCACGTTCAAGGTGCAGGGGACGTTTGGGTTTTTCGATCCGGATGTTGTGGTTACCACCGGGGAGGTTACGGCAGCGAGTGATGTGTATGCTCTGGGCGTGGTGCTGCTGCTGCTGCTCACCGGGATCGAAGATGTGAAAGAGGTGCACCGGTTGTTTGGTCAAGTGTCAAGCACAAATGCTACCACAATCACAAGTGCAAGCACAGGCTCACGCCCTACGTGCAATCTAGATATTGCCGTGCCTTTCTTTGCGGAGCGCCTTGACAAGCGGGCGGGCAGCTGGCCGAGAGATTTGGCTGCCCGGGCTCTGCGAGTGGCGCTGCAGTGTGTGGAACGGCGCGGCGTGGATCGGCCAGACCTGCAGACAGTGGTGCACCCGACCCTGGCTGCCATTGCTAAAGAGGTGCGGGAGGTGCAGGCGCGGGAGGTGCAGGCTCGGGAGGAGGTGAAAAAGGGGGAGGGACTGCGGGATCAGGAAGAAGAGGTGAAGCAGAGGCGGGAGGTGCAGGCAGGGCAGGAGTTGCAGCTAGAGAGTCGCTTCATCTGCCCTCTCTCCCATGTGAGTTGCCCTCCGCTGCTGTATCCCTCCCAACTTGATGCCCATCATCTCCCGTCAGTCCCATGGTGGTGAGGTACAATAGCGGCGTTTCTCAGACCGCGTGCTTTTAGCACCGGTTCCCTGTGCACACATTCCCTCCCTCCTGTTTTTTTCTGCTGTATCGCTCCCAGCCTGGTGCCCATGTCCATCATCTCCCGTCACTCTCATGGTGGTGATGTACGATGGCGGCGTTTCTTGCAGAACGTTTCAGGGATTTTTTGAGAATTCTCAAAAACCGCCTGATGCCCATGCCCATCATCTCCCGTCACTCTCATGGTGGTGGTGTACGATAGCAACGTTTCTTGCAGAACATGCTCTTGGCACCGATTCCTGTGCACACATTCCTTCCCTCCTCCTGTCCCCTTGTTCTATATCGCTCCTCCCATCCCGTTCCCCTCTTCACATATTCCTCTGTTCCCCTCACCCCCGTTGCACCAGCAGCAGCAACGGCTGCACGATCCTGTGGTGTCATTCCCGTCGCTCTTTCCGTCCCTCCTCCCCCCCCCCTATTCTCCCTCGCCTTTGCACCAACAGCAACGGCTGCACGATCCTGTGGTGGCAGCAGGCGGGGTGACGTATGAGGCGGCAAGTGATAGAGGCGTGGTTCTCACCACATGTCATTCCCGTCGCTCTTTCCGTCCTTCCTCCCCCCCCTATTCTCCCTCGCCTTTGCACCAACAGCAACGGCTGCACGATCCTGTGGTGGCAGCAGGCGGGGTGACGTATGAGGCGGCAAGTGATAGAGGCGTGGTTCTCACCACATGTCATTCCCGTCGCTCTTTCCGTCCCTCCTTCCCCCCCCACTCTCCCTCGCCTTTGCACCAACAGCAACGGCTGCACGACCCTGTGGTGGCAGCAGATGGGGTGACATACGAACGGCAGGCGATAGAGGCGTGGCTCGCAGCACATGACACCTCCCCCAGAACCCACCTCCCCCTCCCACACAAGCATCTCACCCCGAATCTCATCCTGCTGGAACTGCTTTCCACCCTGGGCCTTCTGAATGGATCATAAGGGGGTGAACGGACGGAAGGTGGCAGGGTTCGGAGGTGGGCGGAGGAGAAAAGGCAAGGGGGAGAGGAGAGGTGTTGGGGGGGAGAGGGTGAGGAGGGTGGTAAGCAAAGGGGGTGCAAGGTTGGAAGGGGCGAGGGGGGGTTTGTTGAAGGGGAAGTGGTGGGGGAAACAGGGCAGGTGGAAGGTGTCTGGGGAGGAGGGGAGGACTTGGCGTATTGTACCTTGCTTACTGTTATGACTAGGCGCAGGGCCTAGTATTGTGAATAGCTAGTTCACAGGCAAGCACTTTCATTTATGAAAGTTCCTGAAATACTGGATGTAGGATGTAGGAAAGTAAGATATTGTGGGTGTAAGTAGTGTATGATCATGAGATAACTCTTACCCCCTGAGTTCTGTAGCCAGTATTAGAGCAAATAATTTGGGGGGTACATCAGGAACATTTATTTGCACTAGACGGTGGGTGGAGATTATGCAGTTCCGAATTAAAAGGGGCCTAACACTTACAGTCACATGCTTTGAGGTACAGTAAAGTAAATGATATACTACCTTTTTCCAAGCAAACAAAACGCGCTGCGTGACCGACTAGCGGATGCGGAAGTCGAACAGGGAGAAAGCCATCCTTCCAGCCAGATGCCACAGGTTGCGCGCTTCGCTTGTGTTTGTGTCGGGCACAAAAGGGCGGGGAGGGGCGGGCCACGGTCATACTTCTCGCAACTTCGATGGAAGTTGGGTGTCTCGTTTGGTTTGTCAGCTTGCAACGGAAGTCCATCAGCCAGAAAGAATGCTGCTCCAGTCAGGGGCTCAAGGAGGTGCTGCTGCCCAGAACATTTACCCTCGTCCAATCTCGTTGGTGTAACTCAATCTTCCTCCAATCACCCCACGCGCCAACACCAACCCGCCTCCCTTCAGCAACGTAGCAAATCCAATCCATCTTACAGCCTTCACCACGCTGAGCCATACTGTATCTTCAAACATATACAGTTACCGTGCACAACCAGTAGTGTAATGTTTCGCGCCCCTTGTTCGCGATACTGCACCACACATTTGTTCTAGTTGTTCACGTTGGACGCATTGTCACAACTGTATTTGGCCAGACAGTTGGTCAGACCACCATTTCATCAAAACGCTGTTTGGTCAGATCTCTTCGGGTAGTTAGCTTTGGCAGGGGTAATTGTAGCGACCCTGCGCTTTAAAGATTACTACAGTGCCAGCAGCGGGCAATTTCCACCCCTCCGTGCCTCAGACAGGGAAGTTATAGAAACAAGAAAGTACTCTTCCCCAAATTCACCCACGTGTCACCAAAATCCATGCCCCGTACTGTACTGGACGTTTTGACCATCTGTACGCAACAGACGTTTGTCCCTTCTGCCAAATAGAAACCAATCTGACCGCGGGCAAAAAATATAAACCCCGTTCGGATTGCATGCCATTAGGGTTGATGCCTCCCGAATTGCATGCCTTCCATGTGGGGTTTATTTGTTTTACTTGCCCGCTGACTCATTGCACTGCCTGCTGACGCAGGCCTCTCTTCCGAAATTTTGGGCGCGTAACAGTAGCCTATCAGATTTCGGAACAGTGTGGCAGCCGAGCCACCCAGAGTTTTTTTTTTTTACGCAATGATACACTATAAAGAGCATACAGAGCATTGACAGTCGTAACTGTAGCCACCCAGAGTGTGGATTCGATTTGGAATTTGTGACACGTGGGTGAATTTGGGGAGAGTGCTGTCTTGTTTTCATAACTTCCCTGTCTGAGGCAGGGAGGGGTGGAAAGTGCCCTCTACTGGCACTGTAGTCCACTTCAAAGTGCAGGGTCGCTAGTAGGACCCCTGCCAAAGCTACTTACCTGATTTCTTCATCACCCACCAGAAACAAAATTCTGCATCCCTCTGGCGCTGCTCCCAGCGTGGCATACACTTTTTGTTTGGTCGATGCGATGGCCGCTTGTCTCTCAGACTTCCACGACTGTATGAACTAAGGACGCGTCTAGCTCCCGCTGATTTTGGTGATCGATCATGCAATTTGGATCAGCTACCGCACTTAAAACCTGTTTGTAGAGCTCAAAACAATCCAGAACGTTTTAAAAGCCATCAAATTCGATCCTGCGCAGGATCGATCGTGCCAATTTGATGGGAGTGACGCGTCCTAAAGGTAGTTGTTGCTGACTGCACCTTTTAGGTAGCTTCGCTGCTCATTATGATGATGATTAATGGCCAGCGAAACCTATACAAATGTTCTCGTTTATAGTCCGACGGACTGAGACGCTGCGCGCGGACTATGTGCGAAAACCTTCAAACCCCGGGCAAAACGCGATACTTATAGTCCCGTTCAGGAAAACTGCATGAACAGTGGTTTGTTTGCTAATAGTCTTTGGATTTGTCTTTTAAGTAGATTCAGTTCTCCGCGCTGATCAATGTTGCATGACAAACGGGCAAAGAAAAACAAAATCAATCATGGTTTGTGCGTCGAATATAAGGTAAAAACTTCTCGTTTACCTTGTAAGCGAGGTAAATGAGATGTCATTGTCGAGCGTGCTGGAGACCGCGCGACAGGATTGAGAATTAATCACGCTCAAGAGAAACAATTGCTTACAATTCCAAAGTTAAATATCGAATCAATGATCCCTTACTTCTCGTTCTCCCTGAATGTTGGGGCTGGTTCGATCTGGAGCCTCTGATTGGCTGCGGTGCTGATTTTTGCAATGATTCGGTCAAGCTGAAACAATTCCCGCCAAAAAAGGGACTATAGGGGTCGGCCAAACCCTAGGCGATATCGGAAAACTCTACACAAGGGGGAAACGTGACTCTTTCAGCGAAGGCCACTAACCCAGAACATTTGTATCCACTGCAGGTGGGTTCGGCCATGATAGAGCGGATTTGCGTGATTGTTTTCATCGGAGTCGACTAGTACTTGAAATTGGTCATTCTATCTGAGCAAGCTCAGGGAATCCAACTGTTGTTCCTTCCTTCCGCTTCCACTGCAAGACACTCATCGTGATTCTTTCGCCCTTTGGAAACGACTAGTGCGGAGAAAGTACCGTGTGACGTTTTAAGTCGCAATCGGCCCAGCTTAGACATGGTACCCGGCGATCAGCGTCGCACAGACGACGACGGCGATGAGGCTGCGACGCCGCTGTGGCTGCTGGAGGTGTCGCCGGACCATGAGAGCAGTCGCAGCACGCTTAGCGTCGCCCTAGCTGACGTGGACAGATTCCAGCGAGCCAATGACGGCGAGACACCTGTCATCGTGCTCGTCTCCGTCGTTATCGAGCCAGGATCCAAACGTGAGCGACCAGGACTTTCTCAAGCAAGCTGTAGGCTTTCTCACACCCTCACTTCATACTCACAGTCGCTGTGCTGTGCGTGCCTCCGTCGTTTGTACGAAACGGAACCTTCGCTGTCCGAGCGAAGTCATGCGACCGATGCGATTCCACCCGTGCGATGACAAAGACCTATGGCGCGTAGTGTCTTTTCGTTTTCTTTTGTTTAGATTTTTTTTCATCGCCTCCTCCAGCTCGGCGCGCTACCCATTCCCCTCGCTAGATCTTTCATTCAGTCGCCTCTTTTTCCCCCTTCCGCGATGCTCTCCCTTCCGCCATCTCTTACCGTTCCGCCATGGCCCTTCTTTCCTCCGACAGCCGCGACACCGCGCAAGGAGCGGGCGCGGCATGGCGCCACGGAGGATCTGATTCTGCGCAGCGTCGTGCGGCCGATGCAGGCCATCGCGGAGAACAGGAAGGTGAGCGTGCGTGAGTCGGGGAAAGGGTGGGTGGAGGGGGGGGGGGGGGAGTGTGCGCGGGGGGGGGGGGGGGGGGGGGGGGTTCGGGAAGGGAAAGGGGAGAGGAAGGGGGGGGCGGGGTGGAGGGGGGAGGAAGGAAGAATCCGCTGATAGCAGAGAACAGGAAGGTGTGTGCGGAAAATATTCTGAAGGAGGGGGAAGAATGGTACGAAGAAGCGACGAAGGTCTGGCGACCATGGCAAGACAACGATTAAGGCGAGTTCGAAACGCTTGAGCGTGGGGTAATAGCTATTACCGCGTGGAAAATGCGTGACACAACCTGTTAAACCTTGGTGCTCGAATTCCCACGCTATCCTGTCCTTGCTGCTGGCGCGATAGAGCGTTCGTTCGTGGTGGTTGTTAGTGCCGACTTATGATGATTTGATTCGAAGCCTCATGTCAGGAAACACAAGAGGCCTTCGCTTATCTGATGCAGCTTATAAGAGGAATATAGGCCACGGAACTTTTGATACCGCCGATAAGCGATGAGGCGAAATCGAGATTCAGTGATTCACTGATGGAGGTGCCGCGCTAACGGAAGTGGTTTGATCGATCCGAGGAAAGGCGGGAACCGAAATTCCCAAGGCCAGTCGGTCACGCATCGTGCTTTACGAGAGCGCGCGAAAACGAACTTCCAGAGGCCGGTGCGTGGCGGTAACTAATGCTTCCGAGCAGCTGAAAGAACGACCGATTTCAAAAACCCTAGAGAATGATAAATGATTCAGCTAATTGCAAAAGGCTTATCAATTCACATATCAATTCCAGAACTGTTTCGGGTGAATAACGAACAAAAAGAACGCTATGAGACTTCTTAAAAAACCATTGACCTCAATTTTCGTTGTACCTCCCCCTTCCCCACCTTCCCACCCCCCCTTCCTCCCCTCCCCCCCTTCCACACTCTCCCTCTTTCCTCCCTTGTTTTTCTCTGCAGTGAGAGCAGGCGGCCCTTAGAGTCGACTCTAACGCATCCCTCCGCCCTCCTCCCTCCCCCTCCCTCACCAGGTGTAGCAGAGGCACACATGGAACGCAGTAGAGCAGGCGACTCGTGAGTCCACTCAAGCACACCTCGAGTTCTCAACCCCTACTCCCCTCTCTCCCCCATCTCCCCCCACCAGGTGGCAGCGGAGGCACACATGGAGCGCAGTGAGAGCAGGGAAGCGGGCCTGTGTGCGGCTGTTGTACACCTGCAGGCACAGCGGCTGTACATCGGCGTGAAGAGGTGAGGTGGGGTGTATGTGAGGAGGTGAAGAGGTGAAGTTGAGGGGATACGTAGACCATGGGGGTTGGATCTGTGTGGCGCTGTGGCGCTGTGGCGCGCTTGCAGGCACAGCGGCTGCACTTTGGTGTCAAGAGGTGAGGGAGGGGATGTGAGGAGGCGAGGTGTTGACGAGGTGAGGAGGTGAAGAGGTGAGGAGGTGAGGAGCAACTTGTTTTCAGGCGTGTGAGAGGGGTCCGTGTCCCCCTTCTCTTGCCATTCCTCCCCTCGTCTTGAATGATCGTTACACTTCATGAGAAGCAAGTACGGAACAAGTAACCCTCTCTCCCTCCCCTACTCTCCCCTTCCCTTCCACCCTTTCTCTCCCCTACTCTCCCCTTCCCTTCCACCCTTTCCCTCCCCTACTCTCCCCTTCCCTTCCACCCTTTCCCTCCCCTACTCTCCACTTCCCTTCCACCCTTTCCCTCCCCTACTCTCCCCTTCCCTTCCACCCTTTCCCTCCCCTAATCTCCCCTTCCCTTCCACCCTCTCCCTCCCCTACTCCTCTCTCATCCACCCTCTCCCTCTCCCCTCCTGTGCTCCCTGATTTCTACGAATCGCCTCTCCTTCCAGGAAGCTTCTGTGGGGCGGGGATTCATCGGTGGTGCATTACTGTGAGGCCCATCTGCCACAGGGCTGCCTGCTCGTGCTCACACAGGGCGGTAAACGAGTCAAGGAGCTTATAGCGAGTACAACAAGCCACGCCACCAGCCAGGGAAGTGCTGCTGCTGCCAGAGGTGGCAGTGGCAGTGCTGCTGGTAATGCTGCTGCTGCTGCTGCCGGCGGTGGTGGTGGCCGTAGGAGGTCTCAGGATTCGCCCCAGCACGCACAGCAGCAGCAGCAGCAGCAGCAGCAGCACCATGAGCAGCAGCAGAACGGAATTTTTTACCAGGACTATGAGCAACAGTTGCAAGACGAGCATTTGGCAGACGAGGAGGAGGAGGAGGAGGAGGGTGCAGCGGAGCTGAAGCGAAGCATCAGTGCGGGGAATGAGCTGAGGAACCGACGATATAGACCTGGCATGTACAGCAGCAGCGGTATCAGTGGCGGCGGCAGCGGTGGGAGAAGCGCGGAAAGAAGCCCGACAGAAGGAGCAAGGGGAGGGGGAGGGGGAGGGGGTGGTGGGGTGGTGGGTCTTGTGCGGGCGGGAAGCTATGGGCGGCATATAAGGAGTAGGAGCATAGGAGGCATGTTTCCCATCAGCGGCAGCACAGGCAGCCCAGGGAATAGCAGCGGCGGTGTTGCTGCTGGTGCTGGTGTTGCTGGTGGTGGGGGGAGTGGTGGGAGTGGCAGTGGTGGTGGTGGTAGTGGGGGTATGAGGCGTGTATTTCAGAGGAGAACACGCAAGCAGAGCAACAGCTTTTCCGAGTCTGAAGATGAAACCCCACTTGTCCGGACCAGCACCGGAGGCTCGGAGACGCACCGCTCACCCTACCACCTCAACATCCTAGGTCCGGGAAAGCGGGCAGTTTCGGTTTCAGGCTCGACAACCGGACCTGCCGAAGATCCAGATGATTCAATCCACGCCAGGGGTACCAAGCCTCCTCCCAGACCTCCCCGAGGCTCGGGACGAGGATCGGAAATGGAGGACGGGGAGTATGAGGGGGAGGACGGGGAGCACACGCCTCCCCGGCCTGTCCTACGCTCCCGAACCTCCCCTTCCGGACGGTTATGGGGGGCAGGCGAGCTGGATGGAGCAACAGCAGCAACAGCAGCATCGGCAGCAGCAGGCAGAACCCCATCTTCTGGTGCTGGCAGTGCTGGTGGTGCTGGCAGTGCTGGTGGTGCTGGCAGTGCCAGTAACGCTGCCATTGGTGGCAGTGGTGGCAGCTACAGCGGCGGTATGCCTTCCCTCTGTGCTTCAACTGCCTCGTCTGCTCGCACCATGTCTCGCACTCTCAGCCGGGAACGCAGGCAGCAGGCAGCAGCGGGAGCGGCGGGAGCAGGAGGTCAGCTCACCTCAGCCGCTGCTGCCATCTCTAACACGGCATCCTCTCCTCTCCCTCCCCCCTCCCTCCCCTTCCACTTCTCCCCCAAGGTTCTGATCCCTTCTCCCTTTTCCTCTAATTCCGGTCTTCTTATCACGGAAGGTGATAATTATGGTGGTGATTATAACGATGAGCCAAGGCCTGGGACGCCCCGGGGAGAGACTGAGAAAGAGGCTCGGTTGCTGGGAGCGTCTAGGTTCGGCCCGAGCCAAGGGATGGAGGCTCGGCAAGGGGAGAGGGGTCGGCACAACAGGGGGATGTCTTGGGCTGGTCCTGAGTTAATGGGGGAAGGGAGTGGGGGGTTCAGAATTTCACCTGGTGGGGGGGATGGCAGGGGTGTGGGTGCATGTGATGGTGTGGGTGGGGGGGCTGATGGTGGGGGTTATAATGGTGGGGGTTATAATGGTGGGCAGTGGCGCTACACTTCTCATCTTGCTTCCCCTACTTCCGCCGGCCTCCCTCCCATCCCATCACCCTCCTCTACCACCACCTCGCGGCCCAACATTGCGGATCAAGTGGTGGCACTGGCAGGGCAGTGGGAGGTGCTTGCACAGATGGGGGGGGCGAGGCAGGGGGGAGAGGGGGCAGGGGGAGCAGCAGGGGGAGCAGCAGCGGGGGCAGGTACTGCTGGGGGAGGTGGGGCTGTTAGACCGGCTCAGGCGACTGATCTGTCCTCCCGCCCCCGGCGCACTGTGCCGAAACATTTCCGGGCAGGTAGCTGGGATCCGGGCAGGTTAGGCCTGAGTGAGGACTCGTTTTTGGAGAGTGTGAGAGGAGGAGGGACAGCAGGGGCAGGGAAAGGGGCAGGCGGAAAAGGAGGAGGGGGAAGCGGAGGGGGAGGGGGAGGGGGAGGGGGAGGGGGAGGTAGCAGGACTCCCCCCTTGCCTCCGGAAGGGACGGCAGCCGGAGGGAAAGGAGGAGGAAGCTTCCGAAAGGGAATGCTGCGAAGGAAGGGGAGCGGGCAGTGGGGGGAGGGCCTTGGCGGATGGATGGGCGGAGGGGGAGGTGGGGGAGGAGGAAGAAGAGGAGTCGATGGGGGATTCGGGGCGGAGAGAGCTAACGGGGATGATGGAGAAGAGGAGCAAGGCAACAGCATGGAAGGAGGGGCGCCCCTGCGCCGTGCTCTCTCCTCCACCTCCCCGGGCCTCTCCTCCTACCCCATGGATGCCCATGCAGGGTTCGCTTCGGGCTTGCTCACTGCTTTCCCCGCCACTGGCTCGCCGGACCTGCCAGGCTCGGCGCCCGGACGTCGCGGTGCTGGTGAGGCTTGGCACAGGCTGCCCAAGATGCCGTCCAGCAATGGCCGGCTCGGCGAGGAGGGCCGGCCGGGGCTGCTGGAGGTTGGGCGGGGAGGCGGGGGGTTGGTTCGGGATTGGATCCTGGGGCAGGGTGCAGCAGGAGGGCAGGGAGGGGAGGGGGAGGCAGGGAGAGAGAGGGAGGAAACATCTGGAAGAGGGGGAGGAGGGGGAGGAGGGGGAGGAGGGGAAGCGGAAGAGGGGAGTGTGAGTGGGAGCAGCAGCAGGAGTGGATTGGACATGGATATGCTGATGGGGGAGTTGCAGCAGCTGAGACAAGAGGCCCTTGCGAAGCAAGTAGCGGCCCAAGCTCAGTTCTGCAAGGTGCTGTGCGGTGCTGTGCTGTGCTCTCCCTCGCCATGCCATGGTGTATCGTCTCAAGTCAAGTGTGGCTTTCCATTTTTTTTTCTTGTCATCTCCACTCCTTTTTTAGCTTGTTCCCCTCACATTTGTGCCTCTACCTACTCCTCTATCTCAAGTCACATTTGTGCCTCTACCTACTCCTCTATCTCAAGTCACATTTGTGCCTCTACCTACTCCTCTATCTCAAGTCACATTTGTGCCTCTACCTACTCCTCGCTCGCCCTCCTATTCTCCTTGCCCCCTCCACAAGTTTCAAGTGAACTCGCCTTCACATCTAAAACTTGAACCCTGTGTAGAGATGTGCCTCCACAAGTTTCAAGTGAACTCACTGGGGGCACGTCCCAGTTGAGAGATGTGAACTCAAGTTTCACAAGGTCTTGCTCCACATCTCTCGTTCTCCTGTTCTCTCAGCCAATGTTTTTTGAGAATTCTCAAAAAAAACATACGCTGTTTCACAAGGTCTTGCTCCACATCTCTCGTTCTTCTGTTTTCCACAAACCCTTACCCTCCCCCCCCCCCCTCCCCCCCCCCTCTCTCTTTCTCCTCCCCGCAACCCCACATCCCGACCCCAACAATCTCTATCGTTGATGCGGCCCAAGTTTTTTTTCTCGCTTTTCTCCAAATCCGCCATTCTACCAAATCCAGGGCGAAGATGCCAGCAACCCGCACTCCTCCAGCAGCTCCGACCTCTATCCCCGCAGCAGCAGCGCCAACGCTCCTCCCACTTCCAACCCCAGCCAGAGCAACAGCAAGAGCAGCAGCCGCACCTACAGCCGCAACGTCACGGCTTCGGCCAGCGCCGGCAGCGGCATCGGCGGCGGCAGCGGCGGTGGCAGCGGTGGCGGCAGTGGCGATCCGGGCAGCAGCATGCTACGAAGTGCACTGGCAGCTGAGGGCGACCTGAGTGACCTGAGCGATTTCACTGATTTCACTCATGTGCTGCCGGGTCTGCCTGGCGTCTCAGGCCGTGCTAGTGGCATGGGCATGGGGCGTGCTGCTGCTGCTGCTGTTGTGGTCAGATCTAGACGAGGGAGTGGGGGAGCCGGGTATGATGCAGAGGTCTGGGAGGATGGGGAGGAAGATGAAGAGGAGGGGGAGGAGAGGGACGATGGAGAAAGGGGCAGGAGTGGGCAGGCTCCTGGGCCTACCGCTGCTGTGGGGCAACCATGTAAGACGAACTCAAATTCCAGCCCTTTTTAGAGACTTAACTATGTATCCCGGACCCCACCACTCCCGGACCCCACTCCCGGACCCCACTCCCGGACCCCACTCCCGGACCCCACTCCCGGACCCCACTCCCGGACCCCACTCCCGGACCCCACTCCCGGACCCCACTCCCGGACCCCACTCCCGGACCCCACTCCCGGACCCCACTCCCGGACCCCACTCCCGGACCCCACTCCCGGACCCCACTCCCGGACCCCACTCCCGGACCCCACTCCCGGACCCCACTCCCGGACCCCACTCCCGGACCCCACTCCCGGACCCCACTCCCGGACCCCACTCCCGGACCCCACTCACGGACCCCACTCCCGGACCCTTTTTGGACCCCGGGAAGGGAAGCGGCTCTTCCACCTCCTCCTCTGACCCCACCGAGTTTGTTCGCAAGGTCACTGAGCGCGCCCACCGTGTTTCCTCCCTTCCCCTCTTCCCACTCCCTCTTCTCCTCTCCAGCCCCCCTCTGATGCAGGTCTCGGTGGTGATGGTGCTGATGGTGATGACGTGGGAAGCTGCTCCTCCACCTCCTCCACCTCCTCCTTTGACTCCTCCGAGTTCGTCCCTTCCCCCTTTACCCCCCCATCCCTCAATACATACACTCCAGCCCATAGCAGGAAGCATGGGAGACGGCAATGCAGACCCCAACGGCAACAATGGTGGAGAGGTGAGGACGCGGGAACCTGCTCTCCCACCCACCTCCTCCACCACGGGGTTCGTTCCCAAGGTCATGGAGCGCGCCCGCCTTAATGGCTTCCTCCATTCCCCATCCAACCCCACCTCCCTTCCCTCCCCTCCCCCCCCTCCCTTCCCTTCCCTCCCCTCCCCTCCCCTCCCCTCCCCTCCCCTCCCCTCCCCTCCCCTCCCGTCTCCTCCCCTCCCCTCCCCTCCCCTCCCCTTCCCTCCCCTCTCCTCCCCTCCCCTCCCCTCCCCTCCCCTCCCCTCCCCTCCCCTCCCCTCCCCTCCCCTCCCCTCCCCCCATCCAACCTCACCGCCCTTCCAACCCCGTCCTCCCCCACAGCCTGTTGCAGACCCCAACGACGATGCAGGAAGCTGCTCCTCCACCTCTTCATTCGACTCCACGGAGTTTGTGCGCAAGGTCACGGAGCGCGCCCGCCTCGCTGCCTCCGCCTCTGCCAACGCTGCCTCTGCTGCTGCCGCCGGTGCTTGCAGCGCAGTAGATGGGGTGAGTGGGGATTGAAGAGTGATATTGTGCGCATAGGCTGGGCTGGGGCTGGGGTCATGGGCATGGGCATGGGCATGGGCATGGGCATGGGCATGGGCATGGGCATGGGCATGGGGCATGGACATGACCGTTTACAAACGTTTTCAACCACCACCTTTGTGGGATCATCATCATCGTCGTTTCAAATGCGGAATGCATCAATTCTTACAAGATTTCTAACCACCTGATAGATTTCTAACCACCTGATAGATTTCTAACCACCTGATAGATTTCTAACCACCTGATAGATTTCTAACCACCTGATAGATTTCTAACCACCTGATAGATTTCTAACCACCTGATAGATTTCTAACCACCTGATAGATTTCTAACCACCTGATAGATTTCTAACCACCTGATAGCATCCAACGTTTTCTATCGCCCTCTTTCATGTTTCCTTTTTCCCCATCCTATCCCTTCCTTCTTTCCCCTCCTCCCTCATCCATCCCCCACCCACCCACCTCCAATCACCCTCCAGCACCACACACCCACAGACCTCTCCCCCAACATCACCTCCTCCTCCTCCCTCCATCCCCCTCCCAGCCACCACTCCTCCTCCCTCCACGCCCCTTCTCTCTCCGACTCTCTCGACCCCTCCGCCCATGCCTCCTCCTCCGCAGATTGCCGCCGCTTCTCCCTTCCCCAACTCCTCGAATGCACCGATGGCTTTTCCGACGGGAACCTTCTGGGAAGGGGTGCGTACGGTCCGGTATACCGAGGCCAGCTGTTCGGGTGCCTGGTGGCAATCAAGAAACTGGAACAGGGCAGCGACCAAGGTCCGGCGGAATTCCGAACCGAAGTGGAGGTTCTGAGCAAGGTTCGGCACCCACACATTGTGCTCTTAATGGGTCACTGCCCGGAAGAAGCTTGTATCGTGTACGAATTCCTCCAGGGCGGGAATCTCCAGGAGAGGATCGTCCGGGCGGGGGACAACCCTCCGCCGCCCCTCCCCTGGCACGATCGAATCAGAATCATATCGGAGATCTCCGGCGCGCTGCTCTACATGCACCGGCATGACCCGCCGATTCTCCACCGGGACTTAAAGCCCGACAACATTCTCCTAGACGCCAACTCCATCTCGAAAATCGCCGACGTGGGCCGCGCTCGGCTGATCCCCAACGAGGTCTCGGCAGTTACCTGGAAGGTGCGGGGCACAGCCGGGTACATCGACCCAGAGGAGCTTCAAACGGGAGAGCTGTCGGTGAAATCGGATATCTACGCGTTTGGTCTGATCGCGCTGCAGCTGCTGACAGGGCTGAAGAATGTGAAGCTGGTACACGGGTTGCTGGCGGCGTGCGGCACGGGCACGAGAAACACCGAGGAGGCGACAGATTTGATTGTGAAGAGCCTGGATCGGTCGGCTGGGAAGTGGCCGGAGAGGCTAGTGAGGCGGGCGACGAGGGTGCTGGTGCGGTGTATTGAGAGAAGGAGAGTGAATAGGCCGGATCTGGGAGGGGAGATTCACCCGCTGCTGGGGGAGATTGCAGAGGAGGCGATGGAGGAGAAGAACAGGCGGGCTAAGGAGCTTGACGGGCGGTTGTGTGCCCTCTGTCTCATGTAGGTGTTGCTTTCTTGCTCTCCCCCTCTTTCTCGCTCTCTCCCTCTTTCTCGCTCTCTCCCTCTTTCTCGCTCTCTCCCTCTTTCTCGCTCTCTCCCTCTTTCTCGCTCTCTCCCTCTTTCACGCTCTCTTCACCCATGTAGACGCACTCTATCTCTCATACACAGCAGCTCGTGGCCAAGCCTCCATGTGACTTTTGAGAATTCTCAAAAGTCACACGAATATAGCTGGCCTCCATGTGACTTTTGAGAATTCTCAAAAGTCACACGAATATAGCTGGCCTCCATGTGACTTATGAGAATTCTCAAAAGTCACTCGAATATAGCTGGCCTCCATGTGACTTTTGAGAATTCTCAAAAGTCACTCGAATAAAGCTGGCCTCCATGTGGCCGCCTTGTGCTCCTGGCCTCTCACTCACCTGGCAGCTGCTGACATCACATGTGACGTTACTTGCTTTCCGCTTTCCTTGTGCTGTGATTATCACAGGAGAGGATGAGAGACCCAGTGGTAGCAGCGGATGGGCACACGTACGAGCGCGAGTCCATAGAGACATGGCCCTGCACCAGTGGGGTCTCGCCTGTCACCGGACAGCCCCTGGCAGCACAAATAAAAGTACTTGTTTTTCTTCCTTCTTTTTGTGACTATTGCAGGAGAGGATGCGCGATCCGGTGGTAGCAGCGGACGGGCACACGTACGAGCGCGAGTACATTGAGACTTGGCTCGCCACCAGCGGGGTCTCGCCTGTCACCGGCCAACCCCTGCCCCACCGCGCCCTCACCCCCAACTTCATCCTCGCCTCGCTCATGGACTCCATGTGATGACATGGCGTGTCATGTGGTGTGGTATGGTATGGTGTGGTGTGGTGTGGTGTGGTGTCATGCCAGAGGTTGTTGCTGCACACAAGGTACCCCATCTCACCCCCAACTTCATCCTCGCCTCGCTCATGGACTCCATGTGATGCTATGGCATGTGGGGTGCTGTGGTGCCATGTGGTGTGATGTGGTGCCATGTGGTGTGATGTGGTGCCATGTGGTTTGATGTCGTGGCAAGTGGTATGGTATCTACTGACATACATGAGATGACACGTGTCATTGTTGGTGGTATGTGCTGCCGCAACAAGGTTCTGACGCATTGACTCAGAAAAACCACCGAGGACGTGTGCGTGTTGCCCCACACAGGGGCCCGCAGGGCTCTACTCCCCCAACCAGCAGCTGTTTCAGTTTTCTCTTTACCACCATACAAGTTTCAACAATCCATGATGGTGCAATCAACCATTGTAGCCACGTCCTGATCAGATGTACCATAATCAATGGCTTGTCGGTAATTATGTGATTTGCCATGTTCTGGCTTGGTGCGGCTTGAATTGAACGAGTAAAACTGTTGATTTTTCCCTGTATTACCATAACGCGCACGACTGCTTGTTGCAACTCCCTGGACACAGCTCGTTAGCCTGAATGTAACAATGCTCTTCCCAGGGGTCCGTGAATAACGTACCACAGGTTAAACAAAGAAACCATCTGAAACAATATACCTACCTCCCTCTCCTCTCTGTCCCCCCCCACCCGGCATCTCCCCTTCACGGCACCATACCACCACCACCTCAATCTCCTCACAAAAAAGCCGGGAATCTTGACGAGGCACAGAGACTGACTATGGGACAAAGGATGAACAAATGGAGGGGTGACAGATGAGTATGAAAGGGGAGAGAGATGTTAACACAGGAGGCGAGCAGGAGGGAAGGGTAAAAGTTACTGGTATGAGGGGAGACAGAAGTAGATTCATGCAGCAGACGTTAACACAGGAGGCGAACAGGAGGTAACCAAGACGAGCAGGATGCACGATAGAGAAAGGGCCGGTGACAGTGGCACGGGAGAATGACACGGGAGGGAACAGCTCAAGTGAAGGGAGCAAGCAGCAGAGAGCAAGGTTTCGGGTATCGTTGGGAAAAAGAGATGAGGGTGACTGGCGGTTCGGGAAAGAGGCCGTTCCTTGACCGTTGGATCAAAGTGCGGAAATGGCGAAGAAAAGAAGGGTGAGAGAAGGTTAGAACGCGCGTAACTCAATACCACACGATTAGCGAAGAATTCTGCTGGTACAGTAGAATTTGAACAAGGCAGTACTTTCCATCAATATAGGAGGCTGTCATCTCGTACGCGACATAAGATCCGCACACGCAGGTGCTCAAGAAATGAATATGAAATTACATACGACTCAAGACGTCGTCCTAACTACTGTAGATTCGGCACGGAAGCGCGTGTCGTCAATGCCCAGATGGCTTGCTTCCGAGTTTCGACGCCATGCCGTCAACAAACAAGTAGACGGCAAACGCCGACACGGCAATCCCTAAGCCTGGGAGGCCGTGTCGCAGCTGGTTCTTCAGCAGCGGGTGGTGCCTATACGCGTCATTGCGCCTGAAGAACTCGCCCGGTCCGCTCATCGTGCTGGATGAATTAGGCGGAGAGAACTAGAACAAGATACGTCTTTAGTTGCAAAGCCTAAATCCCTGCCGAAAGTTGTTGCTGGAGGAAGGTGTAGGATACCCTAACAGCTGTGACGACTTGCGACGTGTGCGAATTTGGCAGAATTTAGACGAAGTACAATTAATGGTATCCAACTGACGAAGGTGTTGCTCTCTGCACAATCTCGCGGACTTTTGGAGCTGTATTGTGGTAACAGGAAAGGATTTTGTTTCGCATTGTGGGAGGCTTCGCGAACACGGGGAATAGGGGTCGTAGGAGACAGGACAACATCAAGGCTTCTCTGTAGGAGAAACCTCTTAAAATGTCTCCAACTAATTATGAGACTTATGGCGGTGTTCGCCAGCAACTCAGAAAACGACAGCATTTTGGCGGCATTGGCATGGTGACCGCATCCGGAACCGGGGTCGAAACCCGCCCAAGAGGTCTGGGCGTAATGCGGTCCGCGAAACTTCAATCCCCAAAACAGGAAATTTCACAACCGCATATGGAACCCCCAGCCCCACCTCCTCATCTAGTGGCGCGAATTTGAAAAAAAAAAAAAAAAAAAAAAAAAAAAAAAAAAAAAAAAAAAAAACAAACAATCTCAAATACAACCCCCGATACCAAGTCATGCGCGGGAGGCACTACGAAGGTGTGTTCGGGAGGGGATAAATGGGGGGGGGGGTATTCAAACGGGCCTTTGCCAAACAAATGGCTTGTTCATAGGTTCCCCTCTGAACAGCAATGCGACGGCTGTGCCATCGCTGTGCTTCGAAAAACGCGGCATGGCGATGGCATGGCTTGGGGATAGAACTTTGCTTGGGAACGAAGTTGCGTCCCCACTTCCATATGTCATCGAGCAGTTCGTTGAGGTGGACAAATGGGGGCGTTCGCCACACACCCACTTTGATTGTTGGTTTTGGACGGTTGGGGAGGTCTTAGAATCTAGGCATCAATGATGTTGACTATCGAGAGAATTGGTACAAGGAGAAAACCCTAAGGGGTTATACCCCACAGTATCTACCCCACTACACCCTACCCACAAATATAACATATGCATATCTTTGACACACCCCCATAGGCAAAGTGGGGGAGAGCAAGAGCTCACAAGACCAGTCAAGAAAGCAAAGCAAGCTCAGGGTGGATCACAACGTCACCACACACACTGAGCATAAGCAAAAGGCCACAAGGCCAATTCACATGCAGAGGTATATATACAACAAGAACAGTACAGTGATCTCTACTTAGCAAGTGTAAGCATGCAGGTACATATATATAGATCAGAATACAAGCAGAGTCTACAGCAAGTGTGGAAATGTAGGCACAAGGCCCAACAAAGTACAAAAGTGCAGATGATCACTAGACGGAAAGGCCTTGGTGAATATATCAGCAGTGTTGGCCCGACTGGCCACGTGAGCAAGATGAAGCTGACCCCGCTGCTGCAACTCTCGAGCCAAGAAGTAACGCAGAGTGATGTGCTTCGTTCTGTGCTCCAGTTTGTGCTCGTGACACAAGGCAATCGCTGCCTTGTTGTCGACGTACAGAACTGGACGAGAACGAAGGTCTCTCTCCCAAGTCGGTCAGCAGGTAGGTGAGCCAGCGTAACTCCTGTGCAGTCAGTGGCTATGGCGTAGATCTCAGCCTCACAACTGGAGCCAAGATCAGAAGACGAGCTGAGTAGACCGCCAAGAAACAGAGCCAGAGCCAAGACTGAAGGTGTAACCCTATGACGACCGCTGCGTAGCCTGGTCGTCAACCCAAGAAGCGTCTAAAGTGACCAGTGAGGACAACGTCGCCCCGTCCTCCAAGCACGAGCCCCATGCCTGATGTACTGCACAAGTAGCGCAGTACCCTCTTAGCAACATCCATGTGCACCTTTCGGTGCCGACCAGGAGCCACGTAGTGAGCCAGAAGGCCAAGAGGGTACGCAAGGTCAGGACGAGTGCAAGTCATCTGGTACATGAGGTAGCAAACTAGCTCTGGGTAAGGACCACTCGGCTCTACGGACTCATCCGAAGGTGGAGCTGAGAGCGAATGACTTGTAGCCAGAGGAGTGGCCTGTGCCGAGGACCATGTGAAGCGGAAGCGCTGAAGGACCTGCTGCACCATGTGTGACTGAGTCAGTGTGATGGTGCGGCGTGCTCTGTCCCGGGTGATCTGACAAGCCAAGGTAGCTGCGCAACTCACCCAGGTCTGTGCACTGTGTGTCTCTTCTGCAGCTCCGACTTCACCAAGGCCGAGAGCCTTAGTGTCAGCAGTGCAAAGACCAAGTCGTCGACGTACATGATGATGTAGAACGGGGGCAGCGAAGTGTCTGTGCGCTAGAAACAGCGACGGGTCAGCAGTCGAAGGAGCAAACCCAAGAGCCTGCAAGTGTCGTCCTCAGTGTGTCGTGCTACTTACATGGCGCCTGGTGGAGACTGTAGACCGGCCCCCGGAGACTCCACTGGGTACCAGGAGGGAACGACCCAGTGAAGCCAGGCGGCCGGCGCAGCCAGATCTCCTCGTAGCAGGCTGCCCTGTAGGAAAGTTGTGCTGAAGTCA